TAACTTTGTAATTTTGCTTCTTATTGCGCCTGAGGGAATCTTTTCCAGGGCGCATTATAAATAAAGCCATATCTATCTATCTATCTATCTCCTTCACTCTCTCTCACTCTCTCACACTCTTTCTCACTCTCTCTAGCACTCTCTCTCACTTCCTTTCGCATTCTTTCTCACTTTCTCTCGCTCTCTCTCTGTCTCTCTCACTCTCTTTTGCACTCTCACGCACTCTCTCTCGCTCTCTTTCGCACTCTTTCTTACTTTCTCTCGCACTCTTTCTCACTTTTTTTTGCACTTTTTTTCATTCTCTCTGGCATTCTCTTTTTTAGTCTTTTACTTATTTTTCTTTTACTCTCTCTTTTTTTTATTCTTTCTCAGTCTTTCTCATTTTCTCTCCCACTCTCTCTCACTCTATTTCGCACTCTATCTCACTCTCTCTCACTCACTCTCAGTTTCTTTCGCACTTTTTCTCGCTCTCTCTCTCGCACTCTCTTTCACTTTCTCTGGCATTCTCTATCACTCTTTTTCTTTCTCACTTTCGCACTTTCTCTCACTCTTTCTCATTTTCACTCCCACTTTTTGTCACTCTTTCTTTCACTCTCTTTTCTTTTTTCTCACGTTTTCTTTTTTCTAACTAACGCATTATATGACACAATTTACTACGAAGGAAATACTATACATTTTATTTTATACACGGTGGGCCATTTTAATCTCAACAGCCATATATCTCGATTTTTATGCATGCTCTGAAAAAATGGTTCAGACAAAAGTTGCTCGGAATAATAGAGACCAACTATCTGTGCAATCAGATTTGACCTTGACAATAAATGTCAAGGTCATTTCAAGGTCAAAACGTTTTTTTCTTATGAGAATCCATATTTTTAAAAGCGGATTCAAAAAGAGCGGAAAATTTTACGTCCAAATACGTATCTAAGTTTAACATTAACGTGACCTTCATAGGTCAAATAAATTCCTAAACACCAACCCTGCTAAACCACAAGTAGGCTAACCCAATATTTAGGTGTATTTAAAGACGAGCAGGCAACCCCACAACCACGTGATCGCTGTAATTTTACCCTTGCGGAACCTCGTCTTTAGATGAACCTAACTATTGGGTTAGCCTACTTGTGGTTTAGCAGGGTTGGTTTTTAGGGATTTATTTGACCTATAAAGGTCACATTAATGTTGAACTTAAATACGTATCTGGACGTAAAATTTTCCGCTTTTTTCGAATCCGATTTTAAAAATATAGGTTCCCATAAAAAAAAACGTTTTGACCTTGAAATGACCTTGACATTTAGTGTCAAAGTCAAATCTAATTGCACAGATAGTTGGCCCCTATTATTCCGAGCAACTTTTGTCTGAACCATTTTTCCAGAGCATGCATAAAAATCGAGATATATGGCTGTTGAGATTAAAATGGCCCACCGTGTATATATTTATTTTTTTATAAAATCTTTTAC